AAAATAAAAAAAAAAAAAAAAAAAAAAAAAAAAAAAAAAACTTAACCAGACCAGTACTAGCAGCCAATTCGAGTCATGTCTACTCCATATTTATGAGTCAACTCTGCTACGTAAGATATGAGTCTGCCCTACTGCATATATAAGAATTATAGAGCACGTCGTAGAGTTCACTGCCTTAAAGGTGGGTGTCGACCACCAGGCCCACATGAAAGGTTTTGAACACAGTCGGGTTCAATGATAACAAATTAGCGGCCGATTTACCATCTAAAAGCCCAACATAAATTCTCAAGTCTGTCTCGCCCTACGCTTGTCAAGTGTTCTCAATCACGGCACATTTCTCCACGGTGTTCATTTTATTCGAGGACAATCGTTGGCAGTACCTCTGGCCGTGGACTTACCAAACAATCTCTGGACCCTAACAAAAGGCGTTAAGAGCCAGTTGTATTCAAGGGACCAGGGTGGCTAACACTCTACTTACTCTGCATACACTCTAAAAGAATATTCTGTAAAACGATGTTGAATTACTTCAATCCTCACCTGGACAACAGCTTTGTAAAATTCAGATTTGAAAAAAAAAAAATGTTTTGTATTTTTTGTCCATTAAAAAAAAAAAAAAAAAAAAAAAAAAAAAAAAAAGGGGGTAAAAAAAAAAAAAAATTTTTTGTTTTTTTTGTAAAAAAAAAAAAAAAAAAAAAAAAAAAAAAAAAACTAATGGCAAGGGTGTTTTAAAAAAAAAAGAAGAAAACCTAAATATTTTTTTAAGGAATGTTTTCAGATCCATGAGCCCCGGGGGTCTTGTGACGCAAATTTGAGTACCGCTGTCTACATCACACCATTGGTAAAAACAAAGCTTTTGAGATATATATTATATATATATATATATATATATATATATATATATCCATTGTTTAAGGGACTGGTTTATAAATAGGAGAAATGAAAGAGAGGACGATTTATTTGATGGCTATATGAACGTGCCTTTAGAGATGATTGTCCGCCCTGAATAGGATTAGACATTTCTTGATCTTACGCCAAACACAGAATTGATTACAATTAATGAAAAGGGAGATTAGATCAATTTTCAGAGAAAGCTTTTCGCTTTTATCTTTAAATAAAACGAATGCCCTATCAGGGATGTATTGATGGAGTCGCAAAGCCCAGAGGGAGAAAGATTTTGCCCTATTAAAAAAAAATTAGACCCACTCCAATTCCATTTATGTTATTATTCATCGCATGCAAAATAATAAATAAGTAAATTTGAGTGCCTAATTCTGGCTCCAGTAGACAATAATCTGGTCATGTGACTTCAATACGGGAATTAAAGGGTGGGAGACGTCTTTGTAATTTTGTTATTTTCCGAAACACATTCCTCGATCTCTGATAACCAAACATTGTGTTTAAACACTTAAGGGAACACCAACTGGGCTTGGTTATTTTAGTATAGTTACAATAGAAACTTATCTAATTTTGTTCCAAAAGTCATGTTGGCATTACTGAATCACTTTAAAAGATAACATCCACTTCTAAAACAGTTGGATATTGCGAGTTGGCCACCACAAACTCTCAATGTTTACATTTTGAACACGTTCAAATACAGAGCATTAAATACTTTATACATTCTTTTTAAAAAAATCTTGATAGAATGCTTTTCTCGCCCTTTTTAAAAAAAATTTTAAAAAATTCTTTTCTCCCCCCCCCCCCCCCCCAAAAAAAAAAGCTTGATGTTGACATCAAATCATCTCTTATATCTATCACGCTTTTTGTGTGACAGCTTCCATTTCCGGATACCACGCCGAGTATAATTCCCGACAACTACGCTAAAGGATTTTTTAAAAAATAACGCAACTGAGTTTGTTTCGTAATATTGTCTTTTCGTTTCGGATAAGGAAATCAACTCAATTTAAGTATCGTGTTATGAATATTCGGTTAAACAATTCATTGGCACTTCAGACTATTAATATACTTCATGGGTGTAAACTAAAAAAGTGCGCAGGGGCGTTTCATTAGGGGGGACGGGGTGTAGCAAACATCGGCATTCTTTAATGAGCGTTACTTGAGTTCATGTTTTGTCAAGTAACTTTAGTAGAGGGGAAGTAACTTTAGTAGATGGGAAGTAACTTTAGTAGATGGGAAGTAACTTTAGTAGATGGGAAGTAACTTTAGTAGATGGGAAGTAACATTAGGAGACGGGAAGTAACTTTAGTAGACGGAAGTAACTTTAGTAGATGGGAAGTAACTTTAGTAGATGGGAAGTAACTTTAGTAGATGGGAAGTAACTTTAGGAGACGGGAAGTAACTTTAGTAGACGGAAGTAACTTTAGTAGATGGGAAGTAACTTTAGTAGATGGGAAGTAAGTTTAGTAGATGGGAAGTAACTTAAGTAGACGGGAAGTAACTTTAGTAGACGGGAAGTAACTTAAGTAGATGGGAAGTAACTTTAGTAGACGGGAAGTAACTTAAGTAGACGGGAAGTAACTTAAGTAGACGGGAAGTAACTTTAGTAGATGGGAAGTAACTTTAGTAGATGGGAAGTTCACGCATTCTTATATACAAATCCCATTTAGTGCTGACCTCTGGGAATATTGTTTTGAGCGCCTAATGAACGCATCGTTACAGCCATAGGTACCCATCCTAGAGAATCATCATTTGTTATTAGGGACAACTTCCTCCATTCAACGTGCGATGCTGTAGCATTTGTTCGAGTAACTAGAAGCCCGGGGGTGTGGGCGCTGTGTTCTCGATGCTCCCAGCCGCAGTCCACGAATGGGAGTGATCGTTTGTAAGCAAATGTCGACAAAATACTTGCTGTGAATCCTCTGTGAGTCAACCGTAGTGAACAGTATTCCTTCCCCCCCCCCCCCACTTATCTGCAATACATTTAATCACACATATCTCGTTGCAGATAAAGACCAAGTGCGCCGCCCGGGTAATGTATTATAAAGAGATATGCCCCGTAAAACAATGTCTGAGAACACTTGTCTTAAAGCTGTATCATATTTCTCGCCCAACTGTGCAAGATTCGATACCCTTTTAACATGGCGGCATTAAATAAAAGGCACGCAACAAGACACACCTTTACGTCCAAGCGGCGTGGTTATACCAAGTCGTACACTATAAGACTTAACAATTAACACAGCTTAGCTCGTATTTATGACTAGCTCACGCTTCATTTATTACCAGTGTAACATCAATTTTTTTTTTTTATTTATCATTTTTTTTTTTGGCGGGGGGGGGGGGTCTGTTTATTTATTCCCCTATACCATAACTTCCTCGTGGTATTTATTTACACGGCTCATTCATGTTATCGGCACCGCTGTACCACAGCTAGCTTAAGACCCGCTGTCCAACATCATCTCCCGGAACTCTTTTTGGGGCCCGGCCCTCGTGGCTTTTGTATATTCAACAATATCATAATGGCGGCAGGAGATCAAAGGAATATTCAGACACCCAATTCAACAATGAGAAAGGTCTTTTTATTTGCCATGTACTTTCCACCACCCCCCCCCCCAACACACTTTCTCTCCCATTATCCTTCCATTCTTCTCTCCCCCCCCCTTCCCCCCACTTCCCACCCCCAACACCTCCGCTATGTTAGACGTGAGTATTTGCCATGTACTTTCCACCCCCCCCCCCCCAACACCCTTTCTCTCCCATTATCCTTCCATTCTTCTCTCCCCCCCCCTTCCCCCCACTTCCCACCCCCAACACCTCCGCTATGTTAGACGTGAGTGAAAACATTGCCCGACAGATTGGAACATCCCGTCCAACAAATGGTGCTCACGCTTGAAGTCTAACGGCCTGGCTCCGCGCAAAGGCGAGAGGAAAAAAAAAATATCGCATTAGCACCGCAGGGGGGCGTGGCTCGGTGTCTGCAAGTGGACCAATGGCCGGCGTCGTCTCGGAAACCGCTGTAGAAATTGAGTCGTAGACTTAACCCCTTTTTTTTTGGTTTTTGTTTTTTGAATGGCCTTTTTGTTAACACGTGCAGAGATTTGAACCAATAAAACAAGAGGCATCGCATTAGGAGATTTTAGGAAAAGGGTGAGGGGTGTAGTGGGGGGGTGGGGTGGGGGGGTGGTTGTGGTGATTAATATCAACACTTGTTGAAGCAACACGTTAGAGTTCTCGGACTTGAAGAACTCTTGTCTAACTGGAATCAGCTTACCATCTGAGCACCAGCGGCTACTACTAGTTTCTTGCGATATCAGCTTTAGTTCTACCGTAGCTTAAACATGATAAACTGTACTAGATGATCAATTACTTTTTTTTTTAAAGTAAAAATCGATAACTTTCAACAAGCTTATCAGAGTTTGAGATAAGGTATGTTTGAAAAGGTCTCCTGATTCTGATCAATCCTCTAAAGGTCACAAAAACACACACAATTGGACTACCGCACAAAAGGTAATGACTTTTCGGTGATCGTTTAATTTATTTAATCAGAATTCTTCTTGTGTCGCTATTTTTTACTTTCGATATAATTCTGAGAAAACATGAATTGTGATTCGGATGAAGCGAGTACTGAATGGAAGAGCTGAGGGAAGAAGAGATTAAAAACAAACAAAAAAAATTGATTCTAAAGTGGTCAAGTAATGTTTCATCTCGAAGTTGAAGGCCCCGACGTTTTTTTGTGTTCCTACCGGCAAATCACGATTCCGTCAAAAATTCTTTTCTGCAGCTGATTCAAAAGTCTTGTGACTTAAAATCCTCCTCATCCATTGCTACGACATTAATACAAACGTTAAAACTATTTTTGTTATGATAATAATAAAAAAAATTATTTTTTTAAATTGCCACCAACATGAAATTTTAAACAATATTTTTTAATAATAAATAAATATATGTAGAAGAAAAATGCCCCGCCTTTTAATTTGATTTAGAACATTTTCATTAGGCTGTGCCTCTTGTTGTGGCGATTTAAAGTTTAAAAAAACTGTAATCGCGTGATGTCATTTTGTGCTGTAGTTTAATGAAACATAGCGGATCTTCTGAACTGTGTGTGCATCGGCAGCTTGATATTCCTAGGGCTCTGCTGCCTGATTGCAATATTTACATGTAAAAAAAACGCTTTCAACAAAATAATAATTATCTTATTTTAAAATGTATTATCATTAATTGAAATGTGAACATTATGGGAATACGTTTATTGACATAGGAACTAGGGGGTAGAAATAAGATAAGATAAGATGAGACATTTTTTATAGATAAGAAATTGAAGTTTTTTGCTTTTTGTTATTTTTTTTTTTTAATCATTCACTGTACATATTTATTTTCAGTCTTGAAAATACTTGTTTGAGTTTTTTCGTTTCTCCTTAAAATTAGTATGTAGCGGAAATTTCGTCGAATAATTTTGCGCTAGGAAGAACTGTTAAATTCTTGAATGTGAGTCGTAATTTTGAACAGAGAGATAATTTTAGCCAAATGATTTCTTCACCAGTTCCTAAGGCTGTTTTTTTTAAAAAAAAGTAATTCATTAAGAGAAAAAAAAATTATTTAAAAGATAATGCTAAACAATCCATCTCTCTTCCACTTAGATCATGGACGATAGCCGACTGCGACACTACAGCCCTGCTGTTGGAGTGTCCACTGCTGACTCCAGCGATGACGACATCGATCCCGAGGACGACGGCGACGATGACGTCATCCTTGACATTGACGGCTCGTGTCAGAGCGATGACAACAGCGACACTCTCCACTCGCCGCTAACGCACGACGACAACAACGACAACAACGGAGAATTCGGAGACAGCAGCGCCAGGCATCTGTCCGGGATGAGCAAAGACGATCGAATGGCCGCCACCGGTAAGACGACGAAGAGCAGCTCTTCGACGAAACGGTTGCTAAGGACGCCGAAGTGCGCGCGGTGCCGCAATCACGGTGTGGTGTCGTGCCTAAAAGGACACAAGAGGTACTGCAGGTGGCGCGATTGTCAGTGCGCAAACTGTCTGCTGGTGGTTGAGAGACAGAGGATTATGGCGGCTCAGGTAGCGCTGAGAAGGTGAGTGGTACCAAGTCAACGTAAGCATGGAAATACTAAAATATATTGCACTAGGGTTTAACCACGTGCAGATTTTTTTTTACAGGGGGTGGGGGATTTTTGGAAAAAAACGTTTTTAAAAAGTTTAAAAAAAAAAAAAAAAAAAAACAAAAAAAAAAAAAAAGAACAAAAGAGTTAATTTCTCATTTTCTCATTTCCCTACGCCATACCTGTCGGCATTTAAACAATATTCCTACAGACAGTCATACAGACAGTCCTACAGACAGTCCTACACCATGCATCTTTATTGATTATTAAAATAGTCTCCTCCAGAATAAATGTCCCCCTTTTCAAGTAAGTTCAACCGTCATGCACGACCCTCGCTGGTTGACAGCATTTTACTCACTCTATACTATTAAAATAAAACATGTTGAGTAGGGGGGAGGGCCGGTTGAGGAAAGGAAGCCGGACACACCAGAAGCAAAATACATAAGAGATTGTTGAAGCGGAAGCTTGCTATATCTAACAAACAGAATAATAAAATAAGTTAAATATATATCCGAGAATGACATAAATATTTGATCTCCAACATTTGCTTACATAACTCCAAACAATTTCTAAAAAAAAAAAACAATTACCTGCTGCAGTTTACCGTTATTTTGATCGGCATACAAAAAAAAAACATGAATTTAATGTTATTGCAAAATGACATAAATATTTGATCTCCAACATTTGCTTACATAACTCCAAACAATTTCTAAAAAAAAAAAACAATTACCTGCTGCAGTTTACCGTTATTTTGATCGGCATCCAAAGAAAAAACATGAATTTAATGTTATTGCAATAACCAGCCTCTTTTTTTTTTTTTAAATGCAAATTGGGGGATAATAATTTTATTTAAAATAAAAAAAAAAAACAATTACCTGCTTCAGTTTACCGTTATTTTGATCGGCATCCAAAGAAAAAACATGAATTTAATGTTATTGCAATAACCAGCCTCTTTTTTTTTTTTTAAATGCAGATTGGGTGATAATAATTTTATTTAAAATAGAAAAAAAATATAACAAATTTGTAACGAATATGTGGTATTGGCTGCGAATAAATCACCAAAGTATCAAAGTAATCATTACGCAAAGTAAGACCAAATGTGTTAGTGTGTAATTAAGACTAATTTAATTTCGGAGACATATCGTGTTAATAGGGTTTAAAGAATTCTTTTCCGAACCAAACTGTTTGTTCAATTTATGATATTTTCTTCCGCTGAAGGCCAAGCTCTACTGTCTAGTGCTTGATGTGTCCTAGCGTAATTATAATGCCATGGACAGGTTCACCCTGCATGTTCCCGCCGTTCTCATATGTACAGGAACGCCTTTTCCCGATCAATTTATGCTTACAGTGAATGAAGTTCAATGGATTGAACATGTAACTGTTACTCAATGATTAAGGGAAGTGGCAGTGGAAGGTCTAGTCGTGCTGGTCCAGCTAAAACGATTTTGTTAAAAAAAAAAGTAAACGCTTATAAAAATGTCTGCATTACATTATGAAGTCTATCGGGGTTGGTGATCAAATGAAGTCTATCGGGGTTGGTGATCAAATGAAGTCTATCGGGGTTGGTGATCAAATGAAGTCTATCGGGGTTGGCGATCAAATGAAGTCTATCGGGGTTGGTGATCAAATGAAGTCTATCGGGGTTGGTGATCAAATGAAGTCTATCGGGGTTGGTGATCAAATGAAGTCTATCGGGGTTGGTGATCAAATGAAGTCTATCGGGGTTGGTGATCAAATGAAGTCTATCGGGGTTGGTGATCAAGGGACATTCTCATTATTTTTTTAAAATTAAAACGTGATTTTAATTAATTACGAACACACCGGAAGAAAATTTAACATAGAGATTATTTTTTTTCTGTTTTTTTTTCTAAGAAGATTATAAACGTACGTTCAAGTCTAATATTACATTTCTTTTTTTTTTTTAAAGTGATGTTCTGCTGGCTGTTAGATGGCATACATTCAAAGACAGTATGTAGTTCATATTTTTCTATAATTCCCTCTGAAGTATAATGTAAACATTTCTTACGGCTACACAAATTCCAACATGATGCTTAAATGGGATTGAGACGTAAGAAAAAAAAGAGAAGTGGCAAGAAGAGATTTCTCACAAAGTAGAAATGGCACATTAAGTTAGTTGAATCCGAATGAGACAAGGACAGCTATAACAAGTTACTAGAAACACACTGTCCTATAGACAGGGACAGCTACAACAAATATTAATTTCAAACAAAAATATACCATCCTGGTCATTAAAATGGTGTTTTATTTTTGGAGACCCGCTGTCTTGAATAAACACATTACCATCCTGTGTTAGCTACTGTACCATCCTGTGTTAGCTACTGTTGGGTTGTTGACGATTGTGCCGGGGGGGGGGGGCGGATTGCTATTATTTGGAGTGGTCGAGATATCCGGCTCTATATTTCACATTATCTTATCATTTATCTTCTCATAAAAAATATTTTGAACATATTTTTTATTAAAACTAGTATACTGCTTGGCGTGTGTCGTCAGGTCAGACTGAATTATCTCAGAACTAAACTATGGCCCACCAAACCGAGGGCTGCCTCAATGACGTCAACTTACCATCTACTAACATTACTTGACACAACAATCACTCGAGTGAGGCACTTTGTAAGATTCCCAATGAGTGGTACTCCCCTCCCCCCAACCCCCTCCCCGCACACCCCCGTGCCTGAACTATATCAATATCCCAATGCCCTACCCGCTTTTACACCTCAGATTTAATGACATTAACTATTTCCGTCAAACAAAAGAAAATATTGCCCACCGGACGCACTGGCGATATTTAATGTTTAAGGGTTTTATGTTTAATTGTGTGATATAATTTATGCTCAAGCCTTTTTAATGATATGCCGCACTCCGTATGTTGCCACACGCACAATGGTTGCTTGGCGGACCTAACGAGGCGTATGGTTCGGAAACGGGACACCACTCACCACATTACTAACGTAGCATAGGTGTTGAAGGGAAAAAAAATTGAGGTAAACTAATAAATCTTTTTTTGCGTAGCATAAGTATGACATTGGACTTGGTTTTAATTAATGTCAGTTGATTTCCATTTTTTAAAATAGTTTTTTTAGAACCGCCGACGAGCGTATAGGCCTAAATCTTTTTAGAACCGTCGAAGAATGCGTAGGCCTAGAGCTTTTTAAAAAAAAAAATTTTCTTCATTTTTTGTTGTTGTTGTTCTGTTGAGGTTGTCCTTTCTTTATCCATAAATGGATTGTTTGGGGACAATAATTATCACCCAGTTTTAAAGATAACCTTTGCCCTTTAAACCCGCGCCTTTGTCCCTCTGTTCTCTTATGCCAGGTAATAGACAGACATTATTGTAATTACCGATGATTACAGCCCGTACCATGATGGCCATGTCTCAGAAGCCATGTGACTGAAATTATAAGAAAGATTGCGGCTCCCCCCCTCTCCTTTTTCGCCAACACACACACAAATCACGGAACCTAAGCACATAAAGGATTGGTTATTACTCAATCTTTTAAATCCTAATAATTTCTAATCCTATAAATATTATCTTTATTTTGACAGTCAACCGTCAACTGTGTTACCTTTCAAAAGCTATTTATATTTATAAATATCATACAGGAAATGGTTCCTTACGGATTTAGGATATGGATATTGTGTTTTCCATCCGCATACATCATGCTGCTTTTGTACCTGGTGACTTATTCACTTAAAAATCGCCTTGTCTTTGTACCAAGTAGCTCAGCGGTTCTCAACCTGTGGGTCGCGACCCCCTTTTCCAAGGGTCGCTTAAGACCATCTGAAAACACATATCCTTACAGCTATGAAGAAGCAACGAAAATAATTGTGTGGCTGAGGGGTCGCCACGACACGAGAAACTGTATTATCGCGGCACTAGGAAGGTTGAGAACCACTGCAGTAGCTTATCGGCTGCTGGACTCTTCCAAACTTGGTCTTTCTCCGTCTCGACAATAATATAATAATATTCTTGAAATGTATACAGTTCACTGTGTCTTTATTGAACTCATTCGACACTTGGATGTCCCATGTAAAGCAGGGGTCCTCGAAAGTGCTGTACCTCACCCCGTAAGGGTTTTATCTCCGGGGAGCCTCTGTGAAGAACATTTGAGGTTCCCTCCTTTTTCCCCGGCCTCATCTCAAATCCGGATCTTACTGTCTATAAAAAGGAGGCCAACGGATAGTACTGAAATAACTGGAACCACAGTTAACGCCTTGAGCTGCGATCGCTAAAATTACCAAAAACGGGTCGCAAAATAAAAACAGCAACAACAACAACAACAACAGCAACAACAACAGCAACAACAACAACAGCAACAACAACAACAACATATATTTAAAAAGGAGTCTTGTGTTTGAATTCAGCAATACATTATTTAAAAAAAAAAAAAACTAATTAAAGGCATTTTACAGCTCATATTTGGAATCAAAGAAGTGACGCTTAGTTCTGATGTTGCGAATATGCTAAAATAAAGTGTGTGAATAGAGCGCTCCTTCAACACCCTAAAAAAACAAAAAAAAAAAACCCACCAAAAAAAATTAAATAACATTTTTTTTTAAAAATCACATAAACGCACAGACACACACACACACACAAAAAAAAAAAAGAAAAAAAGGCATTTTACAGATCATATATGGAATCAAAGAAGTGACGCTTAGTTCTGATATTTCGAATATGCAAAAAAAAAGAGTGTGAATAGAGCGCTCCTTCAACACCCTAAAAAAACAAAAAAAAAAAACCCACCAAAAAAAATTAAATAACATTTTTTTTTAAAAATCACATAAACGCACAGACACACACACACACACACACACACACACACAGAGAGACAGACACACACACATATAAAACATAGACTCCCACCACCACCAATTATATTGAAGTGAAGAAGACCATAAAATGATTGCAGAAGTTAAGGTGCCGTGTAAGTGTGACGTTTTAAACACAGGTGTTAACTGTTGATTAAGACCCCTACACTATTATCATATAACTTCATTGGCGCCCTGTGTATCATCGTCTAAGCCAGTGTTGCCCAACGTGGGGGGCATAGGGGGCATGGGGGGTGAGGGGTTTGGGTGGTCATTTGAGCGTTATTAAGGGACGTATACTTCATGAAATAAGGACACCCATTTTTTTAAAAAATCTGTTGTTTTTGTTTCCCCTTCAATATCGGTATTTATATTTTTCAATAGTAACTCTTAGCAAATATATCTAGAACGTGCGTGTATGCGATATTTTCCAATTATTTGATTTTACAACGCTAACTGCTGATAACAACATCTTTATATTTGCAATGACCGTATATTTTAAAGCGATCAATGACAATGATATATATAGGAGAATTTGCTACACAGGGATACACTTGGGGATTTGAATACAACAGGCGTTCACACCTTCTCCTCATCAAGCCTTTATTATGTTGAGGTCGTAGCTTTGGGGTTATTGTTATTGTAATCCAACAAGGTACCGTTCCGGGATTTAAAGTAGTGATGTATAGAGATAGGATTAACACACCCCCCTCGCCCCCCACCCCACCCCCCGCAGTTACGCCTAGACCTAATCTTAAGAAATGAGGTAGAGAAATAACAGCAGCGTTGGTGTGGAGAGTTCAGGTTTGACTTAGATTTGGTGAATGATAAAACAGCAACACAACGAAAGAAAACAACAATTAAAATAATAATACTAATAATATTAAAAATAATAATAATAATAATAATAATAATAATAGTAATAATAATAATAATATTAATTATAAGAAGAAGATGAAGGAAAAGGAGACGTATAATAAAAATAATAATAATATTAGTAATAATAATGATAATATTAATAATAATAATAAAACACAAGAAATGATGGGTTACAGGTGGGTGGCACAGTCTGACAGATTGCTCAAAGAACATCAAGTAAGTCATTTTGAGGCACAATGATAGTGCAGACAGGCAAGATTTGGGAAATAGAAAAAAACAACAACATAAGACTGCACAAAACAAGTGACATTGAGTCAGATGCCAATGACATCAGTCACTAATAAGTGACACGGAGTGCCAGTGGTTACAGCATATCTCGTATTTCTGGTACCCATAAAAAAAGAAATCCGCCAGGTCTAAGGAAATGGAAAGAAGCTGTGTTATTGGGGTCGGTGCGATCCCGTTTGAGAAACACTGTTGTTACATTTTTTTTTTTTTTTTGAAAATTCTACAGAACAAGTTGTTTGAAGTATCAAAATAAATACAATCAACGTGAACAATAAAAAATACACAAACGCATAGAAGGTTTTTATCTAAACAGTAATCGACCCAAGATCTATCCACCAAGGTTCGTAAAGGTAAAACAACTATTTTTCTAACGAAAATGAACAATTTTAATTCTAATGATGGCCGCACATTAATTTCATTTTGTTTCTGGAACAAAACAACTTTAGGATTCAACTTCAGTATCACATTTTTTTTGTTTTTTTTATTTTAAAATTTTCTGGCAACTGCCCGTCAAAATGTAGCGATGGTGTAGATGTCGCAGAGCGAAATCACAAGGCCTGAGAAATTTCTTTTTTAGAAGGATAAGCTGATTCCCTTGACAGCCAATCACCTCCCTCCACGCACCTGGATAACCCAAGGGAACATTAAATGTGGATGGTACATCTTGTCACTGTCAATGCCATCCGCCTACGGGACTCCTTCTCCGGGTTTGAAAAGTCACAGTTTGTCCGTCTCTTTAAACGTTTGCCGTCGAAAGCTCCAAGAGTCCCATCCACACCGGGCACTGGTTATGTTTTTTGTATGTGATTGTCTAGGCTTTGAATTGGCTCAGTTTAGACCTCGCGGCCACCAAGCACCACAGTGACTTACTTTAAAAACCGATAATTTCAACTCTTTGAATACACCTCAACGCTTGGAGCTTCGACTGGTGTTTTTCTCTAACATTTTTTTCTGTCTTCGCACACTATTCAACTTGACGGAATGCTTTACAACTTGACAGCAGTGATCACGGCCTGCTCAGTGTGCTTTGATTGATATACTGGCTCTCAGCCTTCCCAATGCGGCAACCGTTTAATAAAGTTAGTTCCTCATGTTGTGTTGACTCCCCCAACCTTAACATTATTTTCGCTGCTACTTCATAAATATGTGTTTCCCGATGGACTTAGGCGACCCCTGTGTAAGGGTCTTTCGACCCCCCAAAGGAGTCGCGACTCACAGCTTGCGAACCGATAGATTAACAAATGAAGCTATGTTGTGTCTACATGTGAACTGTCTGATGAGGCAGAGACACGTTTAGAGAACTCATATATAAACGGCAAAGATGAGAATTTAAAAAAAAAAAATTAAAATCCATTTTGAAGAGAAAAAAAAGAGAAAACTGCAATCATTATTTCTGTTTGTATTTAATATAAAACAAGGGTTCTAAAACTTTTTAGCTGCAACGCACCCTATCTTAATTCTAAAACATATTTCCCCGCACCAAACCTTAATAATAAAAAAATATGTATTTAAATTTCTAGATCTTGCCGCACCCCTTGACACTTCCTCTCACACTCCTAGGGAGGGCGAGCGCACCCCTGGCTAAGAACCCCTGATATAACCGGCAACAGTTCACAATAGCGATCCAATTTAAAAACGTGCTAGTCCAGTCATTTTAATTCTGCGAGAGCTAACCGTCGTGAAAGAACAAACGCTGCAGTTGGCTTGATTACACTCAAGCATTCGTGTTATTTGATGCTGACTATGACAGGTTCTCATTTTTAACAGGCTGACCAAACAATGTATCAGACTTCAAGTAAAAAAAAACAACATTATAAATAGTTTCAATATTTGCTACCTTCTAGCTTTCATTATGCTTAACAAGATAAAGGGGGCATAATTCTTTATTACGTATAAATAGCACCGGAAGCCGTTCACGAAGCTTATTCTGGTTCAGGGGTCCGCGAACCTGCGGTAAATTACACCAAATGGGGTAAACGTGTACATTTTAGGGGGTGGGGTGGGGTGGGGTGGGGGGGGGGGGTAAATGTCGGTTCAAAAGGCAATTAAATTATATAGAATGCAAGGTCCTTTTTTTTTTTTTTTTAAAAGGAAAAAGTTTTCTTTTTGCAACGGTGCATCTGAGCAGTTTGATTGAGAAACGCATTCAGCATTTTGTGGGTACTGGTGGCTCGGCTTGTCTCGTTGTGTACGTCATTTTGGCCTAGTTGCATGTTTTTAATGATATGCAGATTGTCGTCACCTGGTTTGGTGTAGCACAGTGGGGAAAACTCTCGGTGTCACCTCCTCCAGGCTTTCCCCATGGACCACTTCCGAGTCTGCTTCCTCCAGTGGTTTCCTGTTATAGTGGCAACCTGCTATGGCGGCACCCTTTTACGGTGTTACCCTACTCTGGTAGTACTCTACTCTGGCAGTACTACCACTCTGGATGGTACCCTACTCTTGTAGTACATCCACTGGTAGACCTGTAATCTTGTAGTACCCTACCCCGCTCTGGTAGAACTCTACTCTGGAAGTACTACCACTCTGGATGGTACCCTACTCTTGTAGTACATCCACTGGTAGACCTGTAATCTTGTAGTACCCTACCCCGCTCTGGTAGAACTCTACTCTGGCAGTACTACCACTCTGGATGGTACCCTACTCTTGTAGTACATCCACTGGTAGACCTGTAATCTTGTAGTACCCTACCCCGCTCTGGTAGAACTCTACTCTGGCAGTACTACCACTCTGGATGGTACCCTACTCTTGTAGTACATCCACTGGTAGACCTGTAATCTTGTAGTACCCTACCCCGCTCTGGTAGAACTCTACTCTGGCAGTACTACCACTCTGGATGGTACCCTACTCTTGTAGTACATCCACTGGTAGACCTGTAATCTTGTAGTACCCTACCCCGCTCTGGTAGAACTCTACTCTGGCAGTACTACCACTCTGGATGGTACCCTACTCTTGTAGTACATCCACTGGTAGACCTGTAATCTTGTAGTACCCTACCCCGCTCTGGTAGAACTCTACTCTGGCAGTACTACCACTCTGGATGGTACCCTACTCTTGTAGTACATCCACTGGTAGACCTGTAATCTTGTAGTACCCTACCCCGCTCTGGTAGAACTCTACTCTGGCAGTACTACCACTCTGGATGGTACCCTACTCTTGTAGTACATCCACTGGTAGACCTGTAATCTTGTAGTACCCTACCCCGCTCTGGTAGAACTCTACTCTGGCAGTACTACCACTCTGGATGGTACCCTACTCTTGTAGTACATCCACTGGTAGACCTGTAATCTTGTAGTACCCTACCCCGCTCTGGTAGAACTCTACTCTGGCAGTACTACCACTCTGGATGGTACCCTACTCTTGTAGTACATCCACTGGTAGACCTGTAATCTTGTAGTACCCTACCCCGCTCTGGTAGAACTCTACTCTGGCAGTACTACCACTCTGGATGGTACCCTACTCTTGTAGTACATCCACTGGTAGACCTGTAATCTTGTAGTACCCTACCCCGCTCTGGTAGAACTCTACTCTGGCAGTACTACCACTCTGGATGGTACCCTACTCTTGTAGTACATCCACTGGTAGACCTGTAATCTTGTAGTACCCTACCCCGCTCTGGTAGAACTCTACTCTGGCAGTACTACCACTCTGGATGGTACCCTACTCTTGTAGTACATCCACTGGTAGACCTGTAATCTTGTAGTACCCTACCCCGCTCTGGTAGAACTCTACTCTGGCAGTACTACCACTCTGGATGGTACCCTACTCTTGTAGTACATCCACTGGTAGACCTGTAATCTTGTAGTACCCTACCCCGCTCTGGTAGAACTCTACTCTGGCAGTACTACCACTCTGGATGGTACCCTACTCTTGTAGTACATCCACTGGTAGACCTGTAATCTTGTAGTACCCTACCCCGCTCTGGTAGAACTCTACTCTGGCAGTACTACCACTCTGGATGGTACCCTACTCTTGTAGTACATCCACTGGTAGACCTGTAATCTTGTAGTACCCTACCCCGCTCTGGTAGAACTCTACTCTGGCAGTACTACCACTCTGGATGGTACCCTACTCTTGTAGTACATCCACTGGTAGACCTGTAATCTTGTAGTACCCTACCCCGCTCTGGTAGAACTCTACTCTGGCAGTACTACCACTCTGGATGGTACCCTACTCTTGTAGTACATCCACTGGTAGACCTGTAATCTTGTAGTACCCTACCCCGCTCTGGTAGAACTCTACTCTGGCAGTACTACCACTCTGGATGGTACCCTACTCTTGTAGTACATCCACTGGTAGACCTGTAATCTTGTAGTACCCTACCCCGCTCTGGTAGAACTCTACTCTGGCAGTACTACCACTCTGGATGGTACCCTACTCTTGTAGTNTTTTTTTGTTTTTTTTTTTTTGGGTATTTTTTATTTTTTTTTTTTTTTTTTTTTTTTTTTTTTTTTTTTTTTTTTTCCCAAATTTTTCTTTTTGGTTAGCTTTTACGCAAAGTTTTCGATTTGGCCTTTTCGGTGGATTTTAATTTGTTTGCCTCTTTGGGACTTAATAGACTTCTGCACAGAGATCTACTCACAGCTTCATTTTGTTTTCTTTTAAGAACTAACAACCTTTTATACATTATTTGTATCATACAGATCACGAAAACTCCAATAAATATGCTTTTACAGACAAATTTTTATAGTTGTTTTTTTGTGTGTGTCTACAAATTTGCCTTTCCATGTAAAAAGAATGTCTTCTTCTCTACTTCCTTAATTTATTTGGAACTTCCGGTTGTATCTCATTAATTACAGTAGAACGATCTAATTTTTCTCCCCTTCTAAATCAATCTGTTAAAATAGTTGTTCCTCGTAACTCGGTGCGACTCAACAGCTTTGTAACATTTAGTTAACAAATGAATTAATTTGTCTGTCGACGTTTCAGACACCAGGCCAGCGAAATGACGAGCGCCCTGAAGGCCAAGGTCAAGTCAGCGGCGACCTTGTTGCAGCAGAGGAAAATGCTGCAGAGAAACCTGCGCAGCCTCCAGCAGCACTCGCTGTCCAGAGAAATTCTCTCAAGTGAGCACCACGGATTATTTTATTTTTTAATGTATATGCGTTTAAACGCTTAATGGTCCTGATTAAACTTTAAGTTTTATAAATTTAAAAGTTTCATGCTCTTAAATAATCTTTTAGTTTTACGAGTTTGAAATATTAATGCTCTTAAATAATCTTTACAGAGTAATGTTCTTTCATAAAATTTAAGTTTTATGTTTTGTGTCAACAATTTTAAAAAAAAAGTAACAATACTCATATGATACCAAAATGTATTCTCATCCAACATTTGCTAAGCTACCATATTACTGAATTGGAAGATTAAATATAAAAGTTTTGGTAAATTTTTAATCATTGCAACATGGAAGGAGACATATAGAGATACATTATGGGATGTAAAATGCTTAATTCATTTTGCGTTATTATAATTATCAAATTAAAGAATTTTCTTTCAATAAACTCTTTTTTTTTTCAGATTATCGCTCCCGTCTTCATGCCCTTCCACCACAGGAAGTAGTCAAAAATATGTCTCCTTTCGTCAATGAACGAATGCGAAAACGAAGGTGCTTCGCTGACAAGGAGCTGGAGATGGTCATGCTGGAGAGAGAGCGGCGGACAGAGCTGACCAATCAACAGCTGGCCATGCAGCATGCCCAGCGCAGCTCAGTGTTTGGCCGAAGCGTCCAGCCTTGCCCGCAGTCTCAAATCGACATCGCGAAATCGAGACTGCTGCTGGGCAACATGACGCCGAGAGAATTTCTGCAGCGGGTATTCCCGAATCACAACCCCAACCTGCTCGAACTGGTGTGGCAAGGATGTGGTGGAAACTTGGAGCGCGCCATCGAACAACTCGCATCTGGGATCAAATCCACTTCTCCCCTCCTGTCCACGCTCAGACCGAACTTCACCGCCCCACCGACGTTCACCCACAGAACTCACTTCCCCCCCAGCCAGGGGTCGCCGGCTCCCCCAATCCCGACACCCGGGCTTCAGAATTCGGGAAACGTTTCAAAGTTTTTCAATATCTACCCTTTGATTTTTCCTCCCCCGTTTCTAATCCCCCGACCACATCTGCCGAGCCCTGATTATCACGGGCACGAAACCGACGACGAAGCGTCCAGGGAGGTGTCTCTTTCGCCAGACGACAGCCAGAAAACGGTCAAGGTGAGAAGCACTGAATCGTGTTGTCCACACAACTTGAGCCCGCGCTCGGAAAACACATCTCCGCGACCAAGCACCGCGTACTTTCAAAGAAGATCCCAAAACAGTGCCGCGGGAACCTCCCCACCGCCGCCAGTGTTCCATTACGACGTCTGCCGCAGTTCGTCTTCCACGTCTCCACACGACCTGAGTAAGCGTCTAGCGGCATCGCCGACGGCACGGTCATTTTCAGGAATACCTCCATCCACAGCGGCACCATCCTCACCGACATGTTCGCCAACGGCTGCGGTGGCTCTTGAAGAAAAACATCCACCTGGCAGATCACATCCGGGGCTCACGTGCAGAGGACCCATGGAGTATTCAGACGATTCGCCGTTAGCACTCTCAAAATCTAAGACTGAATGTTCTCACATCAGTAAAATGTGGAGAGACTCCAGCAACGAGAGTACTAAAGAAATTGCATGCGCACCGCAAGACGATTCTAAATTTAGACCTGATGCTTCTGAACGCGTTGCCAAGAAAGCACCCTACCTCAAGTTTTCTGTGGAGGCCATCATGGGGCGAACGTGACGAAAGCAACCTTGACCTTTGCATTACAGTGTGTGATAACTCTTGTGGGATATTGTCGATAAAGTTTGGTTGTGTTTAAGTTTAAAATATTACTTTCTTAAAATACAGCAATGATTGTCAAACTTTGCGAGGAACAAAAAAAAAAAAAAAGAAAAAAAAAAAAAAAAAAAACGGTACCAAAATTTCTATCCCAATTTTAATGCTACAGTATCCAAGAAATCGAAAGATTATTTCTCCGAAATTTGAAGAGAATCATTTTTTGCCGAGAAATCCTCTTTTTACAATAAAAAAAAGGGGGGAGGGGATTTTTTTCCGTTAATTTATCACACTGCTCTTTTTGTAATGTTTATATTTACACATTTATTCGCTGTATAAATAGATTGAACAAGCCACTTTCCATTTCATTAATCTCTGATTTTCTTTCTTCCAAATTCGGCGGTAACGGTGGGTTAAGCGAATATATTTCTGAGGTCATGACTTAAAAAGTTCGCGCCCCGGTTCTAATTATATAAAAATAACTGACCTCAGGCCGAAACCCCTTTTAAAAATTTATATTTTATCGTCCATTTCTTTATTTGTTTCCCTCCACTGGGTCATGTAAAATGCGCATATTTGCTTTTGCGCCCAAAGAAGCTATCTCTCCAAAAAAGAACGCTTTGGAAGTTCGTTCAGCGTCAGGACGAGCGCCCGGAGTCCTGAAATCTTTTTAATGTCATTCCTGCGGTAACTCAATCCCGGCATGCCAGGCGCTCACATATTTAATATCTAATTATTACGGTGTTGCGCACGTGCGAGGTGTAATGTGCAGGGAGAGCGGGGGGAGGGGGGCCAAGTACATCTCGTTTCCTCCCTTGTCTTATCAAGGTATGATACTCGACGTCCTCCGTAGAAACACAAGACAACGCATTAACTCCCTTAAAGGCCAAGGGGGCGTTGCGACTCGGGTACGGCTCTCATAAACAGGGTCGTAAAATAACGCGGGAAAGTGCTGTGAACCGTTGCTAATTAGTATGTTTATCAGCAATATCCGTGAATAAATTAATCCACTGTGAATTACCTGCGGGTTGATTCGACCCGGGAGCCGGACATTATTCCCTCCCCTTTTTTATCTCCGCCAGTCACAGTTAAGTGACTTTATCGCTGACTTTGTTTCTTTTTAAAGGGACCCCAGCTTGTAAATTTGGGGATCTTTGGACGATTTTATAAGGAATTAAGAAAGTGTGTTGCTCCTCAGTTTTTAATGAAGATTTAACTCTTTACCTCCACACGGCGTCGTCACGCCGAGTCGCAAATATGGGTTGGGGGGTTAACATACATTACATGTTTACATGGAATACTTTTAGGGGAAATTTAAATATTATTTTTCAAGTTTTTTTTTTTTTTTTTTTTTTTTTTTTTTTTCCAAATTTTTTTTTTTTTTTTTTTTTTTCCCAAATTTTTTTTTTTGTTTTTTTTGGGGGTTTTTTTTTTTTTT